TTAAGACCTTGCAGCAAAAAACCCATTTCTGTTCAATATTCATCAGCAAAATAACAATTTTTGGCACACAATTCCATCCAACATACAATGGGGCTTTTAAGCCTCTGTGCCCTCAGAGATGAAAAATAAAAAACAGGTGGATCTTCCTTAAATGGCTGCTCTAGAGTTTGCCTGCTGAAAAAGTCCTGCTTCAAGTCCTGATCCCCATATTTTTAGTGATCCCTGGACTTGAAGAACAATTCCAAAATGGGAACATTATCTGGAAGAAAGTTATTCTTACCAAAATCATGTTCAAAAAGCACTTTAAATTGAGGTCACAAGCACACACATATTTTCACAATATAAATGTAATATCATCCAGACTGACTTTACTCTTACTTTGAAACTAGGTAATCTCATTTTGAACTAATGGAAGTTTCTAGGCTGTCTGATAACAGAAGCCAGTCCTATTTAGAGTGCATTGCAATAATCTAATATGCAGGGTGATTAGAGAATAAATTATTGAACCCAATTCTTGGGATTTGGTCCCAAACTGGGTGGGGGGGAATAACATGCAAAATACCAGGAAAACTTCAATAGATTGCCATTACAGACCATACAAGAAATTAAAAATTAACATTTGTAGAAACAAATTTTATTTTCATATCTACATCAAGTAGTCAGATGTGCTAATATTTATGCAGAGGAAAGAGTACACTGATGTGATATGTAAACTACTGTATTTATACGGAGAATTCCTGCATGTGAACAACCTGACATATGAAAATGTCTTCATGGATTTGTATTTAAGTAGCTACACACTATTGTTTATGTAAGCCAAATTTCAAACAAGGGAGGATATTTTTCCATGTTTTTCCACTTCTATTGTGATTATAGATCTCAAATAAACATCCATTTACATATTGTATAACTATAATGGATAGAACAAAGTCAAACATCCTTGGCCCAATTCTGGAAACATTCTCTCCTTCAAATGAATTAGAAAAATCTGGGTTGAAAATAGAGCCTTAAACTCAAAATTCCCAATATTTCTTTCTGGAAGGCTTCATAACAGAGAGTGACTGTTCATGATTTTTTGGGAGGAGGGGGGTTGGAAGGATTAGATTCCTAGTTTCTACAATTCCTGTAATATAAGCAAAATGGTCAGGCCCAAGATATTCTTAGATCTGGTAAATAAGGGCAACTTTCAAGCATACACTCACACCCTCTATCAGTACAGGTGTATTTGTATCAGAAAAAAAGTTGAAATAAGTTGTTAATTTTTTCTGGGACCAAGCCAGCAAATTTGGGCAGCATCATCACAAGTCATAACTTTAAAAACTTACCATCACACAGCTCCCCAGACTGAGGTGCTGAAGTTCTGAACAGAAGTTCAGAATGCTGAGCAGTGCTGTTTGCTGTCATTAGGGAACACATCAGAAGCAAATATAGAAAGCAAACATAAAGAGGAAGGGTCAATTAGACATTAAAGGCTGTCACCACTTTCCCTGAAATTCAGCTCAAAACCTAGGAAACAGACACCACAAATGCCATTTAATGAGTCCCCAGATGCTCTAACCATTGATTGGCTTATAGTCAAGGTAATCATTACAACTCTTTATATAATAAGTCACTGTGGATATGGTTTTGCATGCCCTGAAGACACCTTTATTCCCATGACCTATCAGCTCTTTTCCCTCAGGAGGACTCTTAGAAGTCTGGTAAGTTCAAACAACAAGCAAGGCCAAACCAAAAACACAGAGGGCTGGTGACATCCTATGAAAGCAGAGCATCTCTGACATTCAGTGATCAGCTACAGCCTGATGGAACTGCCAATAGTCACACAGCATCAGGATCGAGTTGGTGACTTTAATGTCACAGGATGGTCTTGCTGACAAGGATACTGACAATCATTGAGCACCTGTCACAAGCAACATGCAGATGGAAACAAATATAACGTGCACTTTACATTCATGTTGTTGCCATTTTAAGCATGTTCACAGTGAAGTGCCACAACATAAAAAAAAAATGAAACAGACTCTACCAGAATATCAGATGCACTTTGAAAAATGGCTATTTTTTCAAATTTATGTATAACTTTTAACACACACAGGCACGCATACTATCCCAGCTCAAATTAGCAATTTATCTTTTCCTAAATGTTTTTCTTTCTTTCCAATTATTTTTTAAATGTTATAATTCTTAATTTACAAAACTAACAGGAAAAGAATAACAGAAAGACAAGCAAAACGTATGCATTGTTTATAGTGCAGTAAAAAATTCAAATCTGTATCTTTCAATGTAATCTCACAAACTGTATGTTTTCATTTGGTCTAAGCCTTTACAAAAGCTCAACCATGCCTTTTCAGGATTTTTACTGAATAAAATAAAAAGTTACATGAAAGAAAACTATGACAAAAACTGATTAAGTTTTATAACTTTGTCTGATGTTCCAGTTTTAAACATATGGGAATACCAGCTGCAATGTAAAATTAATAGATAATTGCCAATACTGTGCTACAAGCTATTTAGCACACACAAATATAAATAGGTAACTTCCTCAATAAGTAGAAATCTTGTTAAAAGTTCTTAGCCATTTGCTATTTCTAAAGCACATACTGTATTTCTGTAGCCAAGTATAAGTTTCATAGCCTCTTTAATATTGAGGTCTCTATAAATTATTATTATAACAACATAATTGGATTTAGTTTAACACTAGATAGGATGAGTGAATAAATTTAATCTCTAGAAAGTATTTCTACAAACTATAATGGGAAAAGAAAAAAGAGCAGCAAAGATAAAATCCAACTATCAGAAAGATGCACAAGTTTAATAATAGAAAGTTGTCCAGTCTTACTCCATAATGTTGGGTATATCAGACATTTGCACTGTATGTGTTAAATGAAAAAAAAAAAGCCTAGATTCTCCTAAAGGGTACATAAGCATAAGTAAAATGGACAGTAAGAGAAGTTTCAGATTCTGATATTAAAACGTTTGTAACAAGCACAGAAATGATCAAATGGGGTTCAATGTATTTATGCACTGTGATCTGTACAGATCTCTTTTGGAAGGAACAAGGATAGTTTTAGAATGTTTGGAAAAGATGGGCCTCTAAGATTCTGCTAGTATGAATTCAAGTTCCAGGTACCTTAAAAGGTAAGTTGCAACAAGAAAGGGCATATTCCATTCAATGTCTACAATGTCATTATGTTGGACTAAACATATACGAAAAATACAATTACGCAATTATTGGTTTGCAGCTAGTTCTAAAGCTATCTAATGTTGGATATAAGTGACTTTTAGAAAAAAGCCTAGCACAGGGGCAGGCAACAAGATTTTGTACAGTCCCCAAGTCCTTCTTCGTGCTGTCCAAACCTCAACAGTATTGCTCAACAGCAGCATGAATTGTGACTTTTCTGTAGCAGCACCTGCCCTCTGGAATGTTATTAGATTAGATTAGCCCCAGCCCTGCTGGTCTTTTGTAAAGCCTTTAAGACCTGGCTTTTTTTTCAGATGTGGGGGTTGGGAAAGCATTGAACCCACGAGTTGAATGAATTTGTTGTTGATTGGTTTGTCTTCAGACCTTTTGCTTTTGCTTTTGGGTGTGTTCAAATTTATTTACTGCATTTTGTTACTGTATTGATGTTTTTGTGTTAGCCACCCAGAGTCACTTTATGTAAAATGGGAGACTGTATACGTATAATAAATAAAGACTGGCAATGTCATCTGACATCATTCTGAGCCATGAAACACACAACACATTCCAAGCCACAAAACACATAACAACACATTCTGAGACATGAAACACATGACAACACATTCTGAGCCATGTCTGAATGATGGCACATTCTGAGCCATCTTAACACATGACTTAATGTAGTTTAAAAGTTAGAACACTCTCCAAAGATCCTCCCTCAAATCCATTTTCCACTCAACTGACATCATTGGCCTTCCCATGTTGGTGCTTGGGCTCCCAAAAGATAAGTACAACTCTCAACAATCAAAACATTCTCTACCTGTGACATGGCATTACTAACTAGACAATTTCTTCTTGAGCTTTTTACCTACCATGGATGGAAGAAATTCTGTGTATGTATGTATGTATGTATGTATGTATGTATGTGTATGTGTGTATATGTATATGTATGTATATGTATATGTGTGTGTGTGTGTGTGTGTGTGTGTGTGTGTGTGTGTATCCATCCAACACTGATTGGATCTTCATCCTAGCAGTCCTAGGCAGAACCTGAAACCATTACTGGTAGGTCCTATTTTCAATATAGACAATCCCATTTCATCCTGACCACAACTCAATGCTGATCCCAGTTAATTCAAGTACTAGAAGTATATAATTAATATTTTTCAAAGAGAAACTCTGGCTTCAACACAACAGTGCAAACAGAAATTAAGATATACATCAGATCAAGTATACACAATTATTAAATGGTTCATAAGAAGTTGACAATATGCTTTTATTGTCCATCGTGCACCTTAAATACATTCAAGCCAATAAATTCTGGATGCATGCTATGAATGCATATTTAATGAATAAATTAAATGAATAAAGATTAAAGTCATGTATTAGCAAATGGTGAGACCATTAGCACAAAAATATTCTGTGTATAATAATTGCAAGAAAGATTACAATTGAACAGAGTTAAGCCAATTGGCTGACTGAAACAAAATTATAAATTATGTTAAGTACTCCCCAAAGTTAAGAAGCTTTTAACAATTATTTACAATCAGGAGATGAATTGCATATTGTGTTCTGATTCTGGAAACTGCTTGCTGCATTTTATGAAAGGATGTGATATTTGGACTGTGTAACCAGAGGACTTTCTTTTAAAAGGTACTTTTAAAAGTTGAAAATTGGACCGTTCTTGGCCATACACATTCAAAAATGAGAGACAATGGGCAAAATGAAATATGGTGGCAATTAAGTTGCAGTCAGAGGATGTAATTTAAGACTGAAAATCATACATGCTATTACATATGTATTTTCTTCTTACATTTCTTTGTATTAAAAAAGAAGCATTTTCCATTGGCAGCAATGAAAAAAAATGCATTCTTGCCGAAGGCTGACTGCACATGTACATGTAAGTAACTAGCTGGTGAAGATCAGCCAAAAAGCATTTTGTTCAACAGGTGGCTTCTACCTGTATTACTAACAGGTTCTGTAACTGATGAAAAAGAAATAAGCAGAAATAATGCTTTCATAATCTTGGAAATAGCAACTTTCTTATGTAATAACTGATACAATACTGGTATTTTTAGTATGAACATTGTCAAGAAACTCCAATTACTGTTAATTTCTGAAACAGGGCTGATTCTTCCTTAAAGGAATTTCAGGGTAACACTCAACATTGCAATCAACCTAATACCAGAGAGCACACCAAACAACACATGCAATAAAAATGAAGGAAATAAAACATATACAGTTCCTTATATACAGCCATGTAAAAACGTAAGTATACCCCATTGAAATGTTTTATTTTTTCAAAAACTTTCAACATACAGACATTTGATTTTCATTCCAACAATACTGATAGATAAAGGGGATATAATACAATGAATATCAGGCACCATTTTCATTTTGTAATCCATTCTGTAATTTAAATAAACACCAATGCAAATTTCACATGTGGAAAAATTAAGTATACCCCTATATTTATCTCTGCTGCAATACATAAAATTAGTATTAGGTACACCAGATCACATGCAAATGATTAAAACACTGTTAGAGAGGATCTGGAAGGAACCTGTCTTATTTAAACCTCAGACATTTAGTTTGATTTGTTTTTTGTTGTTGAAGTGTGTGGTATCATCATGCCTACATCAAGAGCTCTCTGAGGCCGTCATAAAGAAGGTTATAGATGCCTATGAGTCTGGGAATAGATTTAAAAAGATTGCCAAACAATTAGATATCAATCATTCCACTGTCCAGAAGATCATCTACAAGTGGAAAAGATTTCAAACAACTCTCAACTTGTCCAGGTCAGCAAGTTCAGCCCAACAGCAAAACGTAAGATGCTGAAAGAAGTCTCTAAGAACCACAACATTTCATCATGTGACCTACAGGTAGCTCTTGCCACTACTGATGTCGAAGTGCATGAGTCTACCATTAGAAAGAAGATGCACAAAAAAGATCCACATGGGAGGTGTGCCAGTAGGAAACCTTTGCTGTCCAGAAAGAACATCAGGGCAAGAATAAAGTTTGCTCACACATGCCTAGGCAAAGACCAGGACTTCTGGAACAATATGCTCTGGACAGTCAGGGCAAAGATAGAGTTATTTGGTCACAGTATGAGAAGACAGGTTTGGCAAAAACCAAAGACAGCATTTCATCAGAAAAACCTGATATCAGCTGTAAAGCACAGTGGTGGAAATGTTATGGTTTGGGGCTGCTTTGCTACATTGGGGCCTGGGTAGCTCACCATCATAGAATCCACTATGAATTCTTCATTGTACCAGAGGGTACAATGAAGGATAATGAGACTATCTGTCAGAAGACTGAAGCTCAACCAAAAGTGGACCTTGCTACATGACAATGACTCTTAATATTCTAGTAAATCCACCAAGGAATGGCTGGGGGAAAAAAAGGAAATGGAGGGAATGGCCAAGTCAAAGCCTGGATCTTAATCTCACTGAGATGCTGCGGGGTGATTTAAAACAGGCTGTGCATGCAAGAAACTCCTCAAATATTGCACAGCTGGAAAAAATCTGCAAGGAAGAATGGGAAAAAATTCCTCCCAGTCAATGTCAGAGACTAGTAGACAGTTATAAGAAATGCTTACTTGAGGTTGTTTCTGCCCAAGGGGGCAATACCAGGTATTAGAGGTAAGGGTGTGCTTTCTTCTTCCACAGAAGGAAATGCCTTATCTATTTGTTGTTGTTGTTGAATAAATAATTGCAAAGTCTATTTTTTCATAGGTTTTTTTTTTGTTCAATTATATCACCTTTATATACTGTTAGAATAATGATAAAATATTAATATGTCCACATATGTTAAAAAAGCAAAGAAAAACTTTACATGGGGTGTACTTAGTTTTCACATGACTGTACTTTAAGAATCCTTAAACTGATATGAACAGATATGCAGTGACAGCTAGGAATATTTTAATATTAGCAGATCCAATGCAATTACTATTTCTATTATAATTAGTCATTATTGAGCCTTTCAAACATCACATTCCAAAGTTTATCTTCCTCTGATGTTTACTATATGTTTAAAATAGTTTACTATGTTTTCACTATGTCTTTACAAAGACCGCATTAACACTGGTAAAGGTGAAAGAAAAATGATTTTCATACCTCTATTTTTGTTCGATAAAGAATTAAACGTGTAAGGTTGCACAATTTGGCAATGTGGTTGAAAGCCTGAGGTGGAAGTTTATCACAGGAGGAGAGATTTAATTCCTGCAGATTTAAACATGTGTCAGCAATAGCCTCCAAACAAGCCTCATTGAGGAAATGGCCACAAGACAATTCCAGGCGCACTAGTTCTGAACCACAAACTTTCAGGAACCTGTAAAGAGTATATATAAATCAATTCACCAAGAAAAGAAATACATTTGCTTTCAATTGCTTACAAAAACTGGGTAAATTCCCAGTAATTTCCCATGCCATGTCTTAGTAGCTCAGGAACAAAATTATGCATGCCTAACAAGGAACCTTTTTAGCATAGCAACAACTTCCTCCCAGATAATTGGAAGGTAATCATAATCAGCTTCAGGGTCCAAGACAATCCAGCTAGCTGAGGATTCTTTGTCACAGTTGCAATGGATCAAATTCCAACATGTAAGCATTTAAGATATATTTAAATCCATTACAAGTGTTACAAAACTGGTATTCAGAAGTGATGCGATGATTTGAGTGTACAGAGGATCAAAATGCAGCATCCCATTGTATCTGCAAAAACAAAAGCAAAAACAACCCCTTCCAAACTCTCATGTAATTATGAATTACAGCTGACAGCTGGGTTTCACAATAATTGATATACCGCATTATTTGTATTCATTTATTGCATTCCTATTCAGCGCTTCCTCTGAGAGCTTGAAGTCACATGCATAAAGGTACCCTCTACAATTCTATCCTTATAGGATGAACCCTAAGAGATAGATTGGGCTAAGAGACAATGATTAGCTCAAAGTCACCCAGGTGGTTTGAAACGGAGACCTGAAAGTGGGTCTCAATACATCTGGACCATTATACTATCTGGCTTTCACACCTTCTCTGTTTTGAAATCTGTATCACAGTTCTTGATGCTGCATAGATACACAGTTCAACTTCATATTAGATATTTCGTATGTCCTACACAATGCATCCCCTGAACTGGAATGCTCAGATGACCTTGTCACTGTCAAGTGCAATACAGATGGGGAAAGCCCAAGGAAACAAGGGGGTGTTGATACTACGATAAAATTATTTTTCAGAACAGAAACTGTGGTACATGCAGCCTAACCTGCTTATATTCAACTGAAGCAGTTCAAGCGAAACTAGAAAATAACAGAGCAAAAAAAAAAAAAGTTAAGTAGTTAGACTAAAAAAAAGTCAAAATAAACTAATTTGTATTGATTCATTCATTGTTTAAAATGTCATCAACAATAAAGATAAATGTTTTTTTTATTTTTAAAGGAGGAATATTGCTTTAATGTAGACATATTATTTCACGTTGCCAAAGCATTTAAACAGAATTAATGCCCTGTTACAAGAAACAACAGCCTCTCACTACTGGTATTTCAAACACTGTCAAAGGCATTTACTAGTCTGCTGTGCTCAAAAAAGAATTTTCTCAATTTAATTTATTATATAAAGAATCTGTACGTGATAATATAGCTCGTCTATTAAAATGTCTAAAGCTTAGTGATATAACACTATAAAATTATTCAGCTATATCGCATTAACATCATATGATTATACACGATTTATAGTCCCATTTAATATTTCTCAAATTCTCTGTCTAGCTCAAGCAAAGAAGTTTAGTATACTTAGCAATTTTCACAAGTGAAACATTACGACATTCTCATATAGCCCCGCGGAGGTGGACGTTATCAATAAGTTAAATTACCTTCAGCCTTGCCTCAGGATATTGAAATGCCTGAAGCATTCTGTCCTCTCATGGTAATACTTCGTTAGCTTGTCAGCTATCTTAGATTACTATTCTAATTTGTTTTATTTCTTATTACTAATACATATTCTACTAATACTTACATTTTCAGAAACATAAACAACATGTCTGCCCACTCCAAAGTATATATTAACACTAAATGATGCTCACTGAAGGACAATTTACTCATTGGTCCATAAACTTCAACAAGATGTATTATAGCTTTCTGTACGGTGTAAACATATTATAATAACATTTATATGGGTTATTATTCTTTGAAAATATTTGTCAATTATTCAGTCTATAAATTGCCAATTTTAAAAAACAGAAAAAGTATTTTAAAACTGTAGGTACAAACTGATTATAGCCTATTTTCACTATTTACAGAATTTCCATTATCAACAATAAATGAAACAAGTAGAATTTTGGATGTGTTCTTGATCAGTGTTTCCTTAAAGAAATGTTTGAATGTATAAAGTAGATTGTAACGAAACATGTCAACAGTCATTTATACTCTTGGCCCTTAAAGAATTTACATATATGTTACTGTATGAGTTCTGTGACAGATCCAACCATTATATATAAACATCAACTATCGTGAGATTGTTCTGAGAGCAGAAGGTACAAACTAAAATGTTTACACGCCATTATACAGAAACGTTGTAGTTAGAAAATCTGCCATTTTCAGTCAGTGGCAAGATGTCCCAGAAAACAATAATGTTGGGATGCTGGTTTTCACAAAAGACTGCGGTGTTCTTAATGCAACTTTTCCTTGGCCAGTGTTTTGTATTAGATTGCTATTCTCATATCGGTTCAATGTACAAAGGATTTGCAAAGGCTGCAATTTTCTACCCCTTAGCAAGTTCAGCTTTTTTTTTTTTCCGGTCCAAATAAACAGTTCTCCTACAGATAAACTTACTTTTGCTGAACATTAGATAACCTAGTCTGTATTCCTACTTTTTCCCTATAGGAAGAGGAATTCACAAAACCATTCCAGGATCCATTCTCTTTTCTACTGTGTTTACATAACAGCTTTAAGTTTCAAAACCAACCAAATGTTTGGTAGGTGGGAAAAAATTGAGTAGGAATACAAAAGACAACAGAAAGAAAATTTGAGCTTTTCCACTCCCACTCTTGAAGAAATGATCAGAACAAGATCAACCATGTGAAAAAAAGAGTTGCTAAACTGCCTGCCAGATTATCTCTCTGCAACTGGATTTTATGTCTTTATTGCTGTAAAACCATGACTAGAAATATGTTTCCGACCTTGAACTATTGTGGATTGACTACAGTCATGTTAGTATGTAACTTCTATTTTCTCTAACTGCTGGGTGATCGGGATAAACAGGATGAGAGTATGATTCTCTTATATTTCACATAATACAGTATATCCCTATTCAGAATACTGACCTGCTAAAAGCAGAAAATGAAATGGTTCCTCTGTTCCCAGTCCAAGATAAATTAAGCCACTGGACCAGGATACAACGAGACTGTAGGTATTCTAAAGCTGTGTCATTAATCCTTGCCCAATATGGTTGCAAACTGAGATGAATATATTGTAGTGGATCACAACAATGTTGATATAGTAGCTTACATGTCTGTGATACTCTGCACAGATCCGGGACTGTAAGGTGACTCAAAATCAACTGGATGAGCTGAATTGAGAAACAACAACAACAGTAAATTATTCTATCAAAATCATATTTTCATTCTAGGTAAATAAATTTTCATTCTAATTAAATTAATCTCCCTAACTTCATTTTCATTATTTCACTTAGCTTTATTTTAGGCAAAAAATGAAGGACAGAATTTCTGCACTGCTATATATACTTCTATTTTGCGCTTACTTTCAACCTCACCTTTCAGACTTAACTTGGGGTGCATAACTGTTCCTGCACTATGGGCTGCACTTAGCCTCAAATGGCATACTGTTGGCTACACTCTAAAGCAGCGTTTCTCAACCTTGGCAACTTTAAGATATGTAGACTTCAACTCCCAGAATTCTGGATGGCTGGGGAATTCTGGGAGTTGAAGTCTACATATCTTAAAGTTGCCAAGGCTGAGAAACATTGCTCTAAAGAGTTGAACAAGACCTAAATCTGGTATGATTTCAGTTATGTTCAAATGTACTTAAAATTATATATGCTTACTCTCTAGTCGTATACAGGTAGTCCTTGCTTAATGACTGTCCTGTTTAGCAACCATTTGAAGTTACAACAGCACTGAAAAAGTAACTTTACAACTGGTCCTTATGCTTACAACTGTCACAGCATCCCCACAGTCATGTGGTCAAAATTTGGGTGCTTCACAACTGGCGTTTACAATTGTCGCAGCATCCCACAGTCACACAATCACCATTTGCGGACTTCATAGCTGGCTTCCAACAAGCAAAGTCAATGGAGATCCCAGCAGTAAAATCACAAGTCGCATTCATGCGATGTTTTGCTTAACGACCCACAGTAACTCGTTTAACAACCAAATGGGAAATGACTTTGTAAGTCTGTCACAGTCACGTGATGTTTTGCTTAGCAATCATGTGGTCCCCGTTGTGGTTGTTAAGCAAGGACTACCTGTATTTTTCCCTATCAGTCATATTAAAACTTACAATCTGATAATCAAAATTCACTTATATGATTTTTTGGGGGGATGGAAGAGGATGCCTTCAAGTCATTGTTGACTCTGGAGACTGCCTGGACTACTCTTTGCAGTTTTCTTGGCAAAGTTTTTAGAAGTGGCTTGCAATTGCCTGCCTCTTAGGGCTGAGAGAGAGTGACTGGCCCAAGGTCACCCAGCCGGCCTTATGCCTAAGGCAGGACTAGAACTCACATTCTCCTGGTTTCTGGTCTGATGCTTGAACAACTACACCAAACTGGCTGTCTTTATATGAAGTATTTTTAACATATTTGAAACCTGAAGCTTTCAATTTTATTTTTGAGTTGAGTTCTTCTGCACATATACTGAAATCAGGTATTTTTATGTCATGTTTATTATGACCATTATTGGGCATGTCTCAGCTGAAATACCTTTAAGCCATTTTACTTTCAATGGGACAGTAAAACTTAGGCTTTCTTCACTCATTCTGAATTAAATGGGATTTGATTCTATTAAAAATAAAAATGCATCTAATAACCTCATCTATTGTATATATAAAATTAAAACAGAGACTCATGTATCAGTATCTCAACTGAAGTCTATCCTACCTGTTATTTTTTATGTTGCCATATAGTCTAAACTAGATTTGAGTATACCTAAATTGGGTCTGTATTTTAGAGAAATGCTTATGAGAGCTGTGCTTTTTGGATTCAAAGACATAAATATGTTTCACATTATACAAAAGCACTAAGGTAGTCCTTACTTAATGACGGTAATTGGGACCGGAATTTCCATCGCTAAGCAATGTGGTCGTAAAGTGTGATATCACAGGACCACATTGCTTAGCAACAGCAATGCTGGCAATCCTCACTGCTATTTTTAAAGGAGGATCACAGATTGTTAAGCGAGGACTTCCTCATGATTTCCTGCTGGCTTCCAACAAGCAAAGTCAATGGGGAAGCTGGCAGGAAGTCAGAAGCCCCAGGCAGCTCACAAGCAGGCCAGTGGGTAGGTAAGTGGCTGCTGCAGTACAGTGCAAGTGCAGGCAGAGGGGGTGGCTGCTGACAGGTGCAAGAGGGTGTGCAGGTGGCTACCACAGTGCAAACGTGGCCAGGCCAGAGGTGGATGCTGCCAGGTGTGGGATGGTGTGCAGGCGGCTGCGGCAGCACTACACAAGTGCAGCTGGGTGGGCACTATGGAGTGTGGGTGGGGGTGCTGCAGGTAGGCACATGCTACGAGTACAAGATCCCTGGGAGAAAAAGCAGCAGGAGTGGGAGCAACTTACAGGAGCAACTTGTGACCTTCCCTGCCAGCTTCCCCACTGACTTTGCTTTTGGGAAGCCGGCAGGGAAGGTCGCAAATGGCGATTACATGACCACAGGACGCTGTAACCATCATGATCTGAATCTGAAGAACTCCAGAATTATGATGTCTATCACTTGAAAAATCAAATTCGGCATTTAATATATGGCAGACAAAAATTCACAAAGTACCATTATGGCCACAGAAAATGTCAAAAGACTACAAATTGTCTTGACAATGGGATCAGCAAATATCAGCATGGGAACTACAGGCTGCAGAGTGGCTTATTTTATAGAGGCTGGTGACAAGACTGCAATCAGGTAAAAGTTGTGAGAAGGGCAAGTTGTCTTATTTTCATTGTACCAGTACCACCAGCCTAATTACTCAAAGGCGATGACTTCTAAGATCATATTTAGCATTTTTAATTTTAAAAATGTGATAAAACTAACATATTATACACAGTATTATTTCTGAATCATGACACCCATCAGTGAGTCAAAGCACAAAGTGTAATTTCAGATCAATAAAAATGACCAAATCTACTACAAATGCTGCAAAAAGTATAAAGAGGAAAAATTCAAAAGATCCCTTTTAATTAACCTCATCTTAATGTGTCTGATAATATATATACTCAGCACAACATCAGCATTAGAGATAAACAACTCTTAACATGTCAGTATCACTACCAGAAAAGGTAATCCCACTTTAGACTAAAATTACCTCTCACAATATCTGAAAAGAAAAGGGTATAATGAAATGTCACTATGATTATGACACTAAGATGTAACTGCAGTACACAGTATATTTTTGCTTCTGATTAAACAAAGATAACAAGTTCCAAGCCTACAGACTAATAGCCATTAATCATTACTAGTTTAAGATCTAGTGCACTCGGTTTAAATGTGTGTGTGTTTATGTCCCAGCACAAAGCACAATTTGATATTATAATGAATATGTGAGGAGTTCAGAAAATTCCCAGAATGCAGCTAAGTATCATCTTGTAAAAGCTTATTACATAAAAATATGGCAGCTGTTGTGTATTTCTTTTAAAGCACTAAGGTTAAATAAAAATTAAAGAACCTGAGATGGCTTTTTGAAACCTTAAGACTTACATTAAAAAGGGACAGGAATATAGCATTTGTGTAATGACTATATGTTACAGACTTAACCGTTAAGATTTGTACTTATAATGTATTATCTTTTCAAAAGAGGAAAACCATCCTATTTTAAATAATTTGATTAACAGATGCTTAAAAATAGCTGAATTTTAAAAAATGGAGTATTTTCCTCTGTAATCAAGAAACTTCTGTGAACACTCATTTTTATAAGCATTTGGCATAGAAATAAAAAATTAATTTCCATGGGGAGATCAACTAGGGCTAATGTTAGATCCTTCTATTTTTAAGAAACTACTTGAATCAGTTCCAACCATTTTAAGAAAAAAAAAATACACTTAGTAAAACCTAGGAAGATAACAGAACTAAAAAAAAAAAAGGCAAAGTCCATAAGTCTATATATGAAGCTGTAACTGCTTATGTACCACAATATATAGTATCTACAGCCTAAGTAGTTACGACAATTTTTCTTAACCCTGTAAAAATTCCCAGGCTTTTACCTCATAAGGCAATTTATCAAAGTATCCATTAGTTGTCCAGTCTTTGAAGGCAGCAGCACTAAACTGCTTGTTGAGACTGTCCATGCTGCTGTAACTTTCTCTCTCCCCATCTTCATCGTCATCCAGATCATTCATATCAATAACTGGAGTACTGAGCGAATGCACAGGTCTCTCTCTTAAACCATGTAGCACTACAGCATCCAACTCAGTATAATAATCCAGAAGGGAACTGTTTATTTCCAAACGGATTAAATTTGTAGGAAAATTTATTTGTTTGATATTAGGTGTAAACTGACGTGCCTGAGGCAAATTCACCTTGGAAGGTAGCTCTGACCAAAGGATTTCCCACCTACCAAAAGAAAAGGATATTAGTACCACAGGGCAGTTAATAGAAGTATAAGTACCTTAATTTCCTTAACAAGTTTCAATTGGTGGGGGGAACCCACTACTAATACTGTATAAAGAACATTAAACTGTGGCCAATATAAAGGACTCTTAATAACTCTACTCCACAGCATGTAATGAATTTCTTACCCAAAAAAGATTAAATAACATATGAACATTATTCAGCAACATTTTAGTGTTAATTCCTTTTTAACCTATCACAGCATTGGGAAGAAAACAAAGAGAGTAAGCTACTGTGAAGATGCATTTCAGTAACGAGACAATTAAAGAGACCCTTTGGTTATCTCTGAGATCAAAGCAGAACAACTTGTTCAGTAGGACAAGAACTGAGAAATTTCACCCCAAACCTATGTTCAGCAAGCACTGTGAATGTTCAGGAAAGGCTATTTAGCATTTGGAAATCAATGAAGTTTTAATGTAGTATACTATTAAGACAGACCTACAGGTCAGGGTTCTGAAGCAATTTCAAGAGCTATGTTGCCTAAATATCTACAGCAGCCTCCCTTAAACTGAAGTATTACAAAACAATGAAATACAAAAAGCAAACAAATGGAGGCAAGAGGCTTTCATGTGAAAAGACAAGACCATGGAAAACAAGAATTCCTTTCCTTGCTACCTACAGTCAGAGTCCAAGCGGTTTGTGGAATTTTTTATTTGGTAAATTATGTAGAATTTTCAAAGAAAAATTACTTTCTGTTTTAAATATTTGAACATACCATGTAAAAGAAAGAGAAAATTAATAAAATGAATTACCTTACTTCACTGGGCAGATTTTGGGAATAAGGACTTGCAGAACATGCCAAAATCCTAACCACAGCACCAGGATGATACGTTTCCAAAATATGTATGGCCGTAGGATATACTTGTTCTTCAAAAGCAAGTTCTACATAGTCCTGACTTTGGAAACTGGGTGGTGTCCTCGTAAAAGGTGTTCGTGCACTAGGGCACATATCCCACCATTTTCCATAGGTCCTAAACACAGCAGTTTGTGTAAAGTCCCCTGAGCTAGGATACACATTAGGAGATCCAGCTAAATTCCACATAGTATATGACATGCTGTTTTCACTGCCATAATGGGAGCTGAAGTCCAACACTTCTTTGGCATACTGGACCAATTCAACATTGATAGGTAGGGTTCTATTTGATTCAATGGCTCTCCGATTGTTCATCAGTTCTCCCCTTGTAGCTGTCCTGGCTCGGCGCCGAAGGCAAATATAGTAAAACATACTCAGAACTGTTAACATAGGAAATGCTGGTGACATCCAGATAGGTAGTAAAGTACTGCTGAAAGTCAGTATCTTCAAGACTTCTTTGTGAGATGTTTAAAATAGAAGAGATCCTGAATAAAAGCCCAAACAATTAAAGAACTTTTAATTTATTTGAAGCAGATAAAAATGTGGTATAACATAAAAAGTTACTAAAATATCTAATCAGTGTATCGGCGTCTAATAAAAAATGTCTCATGTTATATTAAAAATAAAAAAGGTTAATAATATCTGATAATTAATTATTAATAATATTTTAATTCAGAGCCAGTTTGGCATAGTGGTTAAGGCACTGGGCTAGAAACTGGGAGACCATGAATTCTACTCCTGCCTTAGGCACCAAGCCAGCTGCATGACCTTGGGCCAGTCCCTCTCTCCCATCCTTCAGAAGGAGGCAATAGCAAACCACTTTCAACATCTTGCCAAGAAAACCACAGGGACTGGATCAGGCAGTTGCCACAAGTCAAATACTGACTCAAAGACCCCCCCCCAACCAAAAAAAGATTACAACATTTATGATATCTTGTAGCAACAACAAAACAAAAGTTAATCTAGAAAGAACTGAAGAATCAAAATGGAAATTTGGAAACAGGTCCTAAAACTGGGCATAGCACAAAATGATTGTTGCTGTGCTACCACATAAATCCCACACTTTATATGAACTAACAAATTACTTTGGTCCAAAAACCTGACGACAAATAGTACAGATCACGTGTACTGAAATCACAAACGCTTTTAGTAAATAGAGTTGTGCAAAGAGTATTAAAGAAGCAGCACCCTTCAGAAAGCTCACACAGCTGCTTCAAAGGTGGTCCTTGTTCAACTGCTTGTACTGAGGACAGTCTTTGTTAAGGGCAGGGTAAGCCTTTTACAGCATATAGTTAACACTTCAAAGAAGGATGCTTCACTCCCACTTATATGCTTTTTAAGAAATACAATTTTTAGTGCTTAGCACAGCTCTAATAATAAATATCTGTTTCAGTCTTTTGTGTTTAAATCCAGTAATATCTATTTCAAAGAAATTCCTGATGGAAATAAACAAGTTCACTGGTCACAAATGTGAAGCACACAATATACAAACCAAAATCTAAATATAGGAAATATGAAAAATCCAAAAGTAAGCTGAGAAGACTTACCTACCCAGAGCAAAACTTATATTTTTGCCCAAATCTTTACTATTAACTACCAGCACACTTTTTAACTATCAATGACTCATAAGGCAAATTCAGCCTAGTCCCCAAATACAAGTAGTGTTCCATATACTATCCAACCAAATATATACCATTATATCTTTGTAAAACTGCCAAAAAAGAAAATCCATAAAGATTACCTCTTAGGAAAGGAGAAAAAAGTAGCTCAAAGCTTTTTCATAAATCAGGAATATTTAGATTGATTCCATTCCATCCTTTATATTTTGATTGAGTACATATGAAATCAGAAGGTGCCAGGTTGCCAAGCACCCAAATGCCCAACACTTGGGGATTTTGGTTTATTCCCAGATATACAGTCTGACAGCTATTCTGTGTTACTACCTACCATTTCATACAATACAAAACAATAATTTCCAGCATTATACCTCTTAAGAATATTGCTGGTAGAATTTTCAAAAGAAGTTCACTATACAGGTAGTCCTCAACTTATAACCATTCGTTTAATGACTATTTGAAGTTATGACAGCGATGAAAAAAGTGACATACAACTGGTCCTCATAGTTACAACCATTGCAGTGTCCCCATGGTCACATGAACAAAATTTGGGTGCTTGGCAACCGGCATGTATTTACAATGGTTGCAGCATCCTGGGGTCATGTGATTGCCATTTGCAACCTTCCCAGGGGGCTTCCGACAAGCAAAGTCAATGGGGGAAGCTGGATTTGCTTAATGCCCATGTGATTCGCTTAACAACCACAGCAAAAAAGGTCATGAAATCAGGCATGACTCACTTAACTGCACTGCTTAGTGACAGAAGTTTTGGTCCCAACTGTGGTCATAAGTGGTCACAGAAACAGTTTTTAAATGAATTTAAAAACTGTTTTTATGTAAGTATAGATATAATGCAAAGAACAACGAAATACATACACCAACTAATAACGTATAGGCACCATCTTTGATATTATGCATTATTTTAAGGCCTTAAAACTGTATATCCCAGGAGTTCTCAAACTGTGAGTCATGATTCCCAGCAAATTTGAGGGGAGCTGAACTGCTATTGGAATTTGTTCTACTTTGCCAGGAAATCTTAGCAATCCAAGCAAAATCTGAACCAAATACCAACAAAGCAAGAACTGTATGAAGCATGCTTGTTAGCAGTCATATAAAGAATTGCACTGAAAGTCACTTACTTTCAGGTCACACCGAAATCCAGGTGAAAAGTTCACCAGGATTAATTATAAGTTCCACTGATTTCAACAGGCTTTGATATAGTTAATTCATAGCAAAATCATTTACTCAGAAGTATTCCATTGAATATAACAAGTCTGACTTACAAGCAACAGTCCTTATGAATGTAGCCATAGTCTTGATCTAGTTAATTGTTTTTCAGTCTATGACACTGTTATTTCCATATCCACAAAACATTTATAAGATTGGCATAAATATTAAATTTCTAAAACCACTCTCATGTTCTTTATATGTTCTATGCTATCTCACTTATTGGGGGAAATAAAACATGTAGCACTCTCTTGACCAGAGTAACCTGGTTAGATTGAGATTTATCTCTGGAAACACAAGATGGACTGCAAAAAAACCTTAAGGAGATTTTTTTTTTAAACTCATTCTCTGGAGAAGGCTCTGATGCTGGGAAAGGTGGAAGAAAGAGAAGAAAAGAAAGACCACTAGCAAGGTGGACAGACTCACAGTGGCAATGGGTACACCACTGGAGGACCTGAAGGGCCAGGTTGGGGACAGATCCTCCTGGAGAAAATCTAAGAGTCAACCCCAGTCTTGATGGCACATAACTAACTGGGACTGGAGTGAAAGTTTAACCTCATCACTTCACATGGATTCATACACAGCACATCCAAGACTACAGTTATGTAGTGTGTGTACTTATATTGCAGATACCACTTATTTGCCTTGGTTTTTTATGCACATGGTTAATTTATCATATTCATTAGACAATTAAATTAAAGGGGACCAGTTACATATGGTAAGTTACAAGAAAAGCTTTCTTGTATGATCAGTAAAGACTAATGATGAAGATATATTTTATTGCTAGGTGATAACATAAGGAAAACCATCCATAATAAAAGAATAAACATAAAATAAATAATAATTTTAAAGCCTTGCTTTCATTGTCCAAACTATTAACATAATATTACATAAAGTTTACATACTGTCAATTTTAAAATGTAATTTTTATTAACCACATAACAAAATTCTCATACAGATGTTTACATGCATGTACCTACATACACATTGTTAAAAAAAAGTCATTTTCACAAAATGAGAAAAATGCAAGATGTATGTTCAAAGAGGCTTAGAAATGCCAGAATTAAATTAACCTTGGGAAAGGTACTTTTGTATAAACTTATGAACTCCCTCAGCTAACCTTCTTGGCTTTGCTCATTGCTTTTTATGTTCAATGGCAAAGAGAAGCAATGCCCATAACCTGTTAGGAGTCTGCAAAGAGGATGACAGAATATATCTTAAAATAGATGCAGGATTTCTGTAAGAGGCATTTACCAGAACAAGCACTATATTTTACTAAACGTTGTCTGCATTTCAAAGGCACCCTATTTATTTTGTCTAAAAATAAAGCCAAGAAATGTTAATAATTCCCTTCATCGTTTTGATATCAAAACATCTAAAGAACAGACAGTGCAACTCCATGCGTGTTTGTTCAGAAAAAATGTACAGGCAGAGTGGTAGCCCTGCTCAAAGCACAAAAGGCAGAAGAATTATTTTGTTTGGGCAGCCCAATTTTCTCCTTCTGCAGAATTTTTTTAACTAGGAAACATTTGAGAGGAAAAACACCCCCAAAGTGTTCAGATGTATCACTTCTTGCCTACATCCAGTCAGAAACTGGACTGAGATCCAACTTTGCCAACAGTCTACTTCACCAATGTACTTTTCAGAATAAATTTAGAACTGTTTTAAAAGTAACTACATGATGATTTGTTGTTTGCATAGAATAATGTAGCTGGAAGGATATATCTTCAAGGAAATGTCAAAGACTCTTTCCAAATAACTGTTTCCATTGTCATGAATGCTGCTCATTCGCACACATTTTTCCCATAAAATTCATTATGGAGGAAAACACACTGCAATAACTAGTTTGGTCTAGGACAGTGTTGTCCAAACTTGGCCACTTTAAGATGAGTGGACTTCAACTTCCAGAATTCCCCAGCCAGCATTCCCATGGCTGGCTGGGGAATTCTGGGAGTTGAAG